TGCCTTTTCGTTTTCCCTAAAAGCTACATTTAACCGTTTCATTGTTTTTAATATTACGTCGTTTCGGGAGCAATGTAGGGGGAAAACTAATAACGTACTCACGTAGAAACGTTACGAGCACACCGCAGTTGCCCAGTTCTCACTCCATTTCCTTGCGTCTGTCCTTAGTTCCATAAGATTTACACGGACAGGAGTTTCGATTTAAATCGGAACACCGCTTCCTTGTGGTACCTCCACTTTTATTACAGACGAGAAGTGGTCTCTCTACTCTTTATTATCTGTTCATCGTGTATTTTCACCTTATTATGGTCCTAATCGTCACGGAGTGTCCGAAGCAGGCCGACGAGATAATAAATGTTCAGTCACACGAGACTCCGGACGTCGGCTTCTATTATGAAACCGAAGCCGGTCGTTTCAGGTAGTTCAAGTCGCTCTTTTGAAGCAGTCTTCGCTGCGTGTAGTTAGAGGGAAGGAACGCAGCTTATACATGTTCCTTACCTTGTCCACAACGTTCACATACGCAGTAATACTCGTCTACTGGCGGAATCTACGATCGCGATAAGAGTTTAGGTGTCTAAAGGCCTTTAACGAAGGCGACGGCGTTTCGTAACACGGGACTGTAAAATACTGCGCCTCCNCTTCAAACAGGTTCCCTCCACTGGTTTCAACCAAGCACTAAATTTGATGTTTTCCAACCAAATACGGTTGAACTTACACTTCCCCATATTTATTTGTAAGTAGATTTGAAGATACATGAGTTTCTGACTGGCGCTAGCTGAAGCTTGGTTGCTAGGTTACTAGCTGGGTGTTCTCCAATAAGGGGACGGGGGAGACAAAGTTAATGATTACTGGTTTCATGTTGATTTAATTCAACACAAATTGTTGGGGGGAACTGAAAAGCTCTTACCATACTGGTTCAGTGTTTCCCCTACAATTGTCTTGGCGGGGCTCTGCTCCCCCCCCCCCCCCACACACACACACGAATGCACACACTCACAATCAGAGACAAGAGCGGAGGAAAGGAGGAGAACAACAAAGTGTAAAAAAGTCAAACAAATCTGCTTTATTGCCCCGAGCTCTGTTGTTTCCTCGCTTCTGAGCTGAAACTTCATTAATGATTTTAATGATTTTTTAATGCACTAATTGAACATAAGCATAAATTAGTAGTGAAAACAAAAACATAGGCACGGCGGCCTCAGAATGTGTGTTATACTGACATCCACATGACTAGGGATGGGTATCGTTAAGGTTTTAACNTATCTCGCGTTTCTGTGGGTCCAGGTAGTGTTGTAGATGGTGTGTGTGCTGTGTGTGGTGTGTGTGTGTGTGTGTGTGTGTGTGTGTGTGTTGGTGTGGCGTGTGTTTGTGTTGTGCCTGTGTGTGCTGTGTGTGTGGCGTGCGTGCGTGCGTGCGTGCGTGTGTGCCGTGCGTGTGTGTGATATGGGATGGGTGGTGTGTAATCGTAAAGGTTCTTAACGGTAAGCTAGTTACTTTTATCGATACCGCTTATCGATCCGGTGCTTTAACGATACTTTTATCGTTTTTTTTGTAGAAAAAAATAAGGTAAACTAACTAAACAAATTGTGAACAAAACTAACATTGCTTTTTATTTGAATTAAATACATAATATTTCACATCAAAAGAAACAACAATGTTATAACAAATCGTATTAAATAATCTGATAGAACTGTAAACAGAATAGCTGAAACTTTAACAAAATAAATAACTCAGTTACCTCTAATCATCAACCCATGTTTGTATAATTGAGTTAACTCCGTGTGTCGCTGCTAGCATTCATAACACCTGACGGGGAAACGTTACTCGTGGGTGGGGGGGGCTACAGCGCTACCAGAAAGACAGTCGAACCCGGTGCATTTCTCCGTCTGAATGTGGTGCACTTTTGCTAAATGTTTAGACAAATTGCTCCTGTTACCGGCGCCCTTACATGCTAAACTCTTATTGCACTAACGAGCATCGAGACGGGTAAAGTTTAACCACACCTCGGAGCGCGTTCTCTCTGCCATCTCCTCCGTGTGTGTGTGTNTCGCCGCGCCTCGCTCTCAAGGCTGCGGGCGTCTTTGTCCCACGAGATTTCAACGTCTCATGTGAGCAAGCCTCCAGAGCAAGTCGGACAAAATGACTAACCATCATGCAACGCACGAGCAAGACGTTGATCGAAATTGCGCAGGTCTGCGCAGGTCTCGCTTGTCTCAAACAAGCCTAGTAGTAGCTGCGTGTGTGTAAACTGCCCCGCCCCCTCGCAAGCAAGCGGGGATTGGAAAGATCTAAAATACTAAAAATAATCATAGACGCATTTTGCTGTCTTTTTGCATATTAGAAACGGAGTTGGCGACACTAAAACTGCAATATAATGTTTGTGTAGCAATAATACATATGACAGATATGTTTTACATGTCTCTCTCCAGTACCGACCGATAACGTTAGAGCTTAATGGTACCACGGTCTTTAATAATTCAGCCCTGGGGGCCCGTTTAATACCGGGGCTTGGTACCCATCCCTACACATGACTGGCTCGGCGGCCACAGGTTGTTTATCCTTGACAGTCACACAGTGGGCACACACTGAGAGAGTCTTTTCATATTCAGCAAATGTGTACACGCTTCACTGCAGACCTCAAGAAGAAAAAATACTTTAATTAATTCACGGCAAAACTTACTTTACTTACTAATTTACTCGCGTTAAAAAATGCACTCCCTATTCCATTGTCATGAAGGTGGAATCTAACTATATCCAGAATAACTTTGATTGGATCCAGGCTATAAACATGTTTATTTCTGCTGTAAAGTTGGGCATTTTAACATGGGGGTCTATGGGAATTGCTCCTTTCTGCATCCATCCCCTGTTGGCCACTAGAGGAACTGCAGTTTGTGGCACTTCCATCTGGGCTTCCCAGCTCTGCGCTATAACGCGCTGATTGGCTGTTGGTTGGCCAGACGTGCATGTGGGTGGGCCCAGGCCCACCCGGGCCCACCCACAGCTACGCCACTTTTTCAGAGACTTAAAACAGTGTTTGTACCATATTTGCATGAAAAATGACGTATTGATTCATTTATGGCAATTATTTTTCAAGAGCCCAGTCTGCTCTGATTGGTTAGATGGCCAGAACTGTTATGATTGGTAAACCGCTTAGAGGTGTCCCGGGTGTCCCCCTTATGCTGATAACGCAAACGGACCGCAATCGTTATCAAAAAAGTCTTCCGCCCACACGCAACAGGCACCAGAAACGTGTCCGTTCGCACGAGACCGCTCGAAAACGTTGGAGACGCTGTAGTACATATGCCAGGCCTGTAAGTGGCGCTGTACTCCTGCCACTAAAGCAGCGAAGAAGACTTCCCGCGCATGGTTGCCATGGTTGCCATGGTTGCCCTTCTGTTTATTCTCCGCTGTGGAAGCTCTGGCTCTTTTTCTCCCTCCCTGAGGCAAGCGTTTGCTCCTGTTGTAATTCTCTCCGGTTAGTCCACCAGCAGATGACAAACACCCAAGGGACGAGGGGACCGTGCAGCAGAGTTTCAGTTAGATTTGTTTTGCCGGTCAACATGCCCGTTAAAGTTTAAATCTTCCGGACAAACAGAGGGGGGAGAAACAGAACATTTACATGCACAAAATCTATAAAACACACAACAGGCAAGGGAAAACCCCCAAAATAGCATTATAGGGCCTTTTTTAAACATTATAGAAACATCATCATTTTTAGCATCGTGTTTGTCTAAATTGTGGAACTTTTACTTCTGTATAATCTGGTTTAAAAAAAAAAAGAGCTCAGATGGTTGCTTAAAGTCTATGAAAAAATATGACATTTATAAATATCCTGGTGCATCATTAAACATCTAAAAATAGTTTGTCCCACCCTTTTAATCTTCCTTTTTCATTTCAGAACATGTCAGGGCATGTAAAGGCATGCTGGAACATGTCCCTCCTGGCAGATCTTGTTTGGAGAATAAATTATAAATCTGTATAATTTAATGTGTATTTGACTCTGAGGTACACTCCCCTCCTTTTGATTTCCATCAGTTGTATCTGAATGAAAGCCGTAGATGTGGCGGTCCGCTGCGTGGTGCGATGGAAGGCAGAGCGCTGCGATAATAGTCTTGGTGTTGGAGGAGAGGATTGACTAAATTATGCATTTGCTCTAAAGATAGCTGAGCTCCCTCGCTGTGGTGCATAATGAAATATTACCCACTTTCTTTCTGCATATTTATGCCCCAGCAGCTCCTACATTTGTGCAAGGGGCTGTTTTCAGATTTAGTTTGAGAAGCCTTTGTCAGAGTGGATTATTAAATGTGTATGCATGGACCTAAAAAGATCTCCTGCTGCGGTCACCATGCAGTTTCTACATTGGAGAGAATTAGTAATAACTATCCATGTTCATACATGTTTAATAATAATCAGAAAACGTGTCTTTATTTAAAAGAATATATGAACTAGCTTACATCTAGAATGTGAACATGTCTTTTGTTGGGCTGTGCCAAGTATTTTTAAGTTTGCTGCATAATATATGGTACAGCCTTACAAGTTGTTTTTTTAAAACTGTATTTCTGCCCAGTTGCATATAATTATCAGGTTATACTCATAATACTAGTATTATACCATTTTAAAAATCATAAATCGTTTATTTGTCCCACAGTTGGGACATTTACAGAGTCACAAGAGCAAAGTGACGGCCAACAAATAAATACAAATAAATGAATTAACATAAAAAGACGTAAACAATCAAAAAAAGATATTATTATTACTACAATATTAACATTTAATTATCCATATAAAATGTCTCATCAGCCACTTAGATCAATTATCTCCGCTCATAATAATAAAAGAAGATATTAAATATATTTAACGCTTTTTCAAAGAGGCTTTACATTGAAACTAAACGTTTCTAAAAGCATTCCATCCCATTTCTTTCATTTCCCCCCTCTACTTCTCCTCTCTTCTCTTCCCTCCTTTTTTCTCTGATGTACATCTACTGTGCATATTGATAATGTTTTGAATGAAGTGGTATACATGTTCCTCTGCGTGTGTGTCAGGCTGTACTGCCTGAAGATCTACGGCCTCTCGTCTCTCTGGAGGCTCTTCAGGGGGAAGAAGTGGAACGTCCTGCGGCAGAGGGTGGACTCCTGCTCCTACGACCTGGACCAGGTAACCTCCAGTGATAAGGCCTTTCACCTAAACATAGACCAACGTTTGCAAATACTCCATTACAAGTAAAAGTCCTGAATTCTAAATGTTTTGCTTAGATAAAACAATAAAGGTATTACCAGCCAATAATACTGGAAGTACCAGAAGTCAGGTAGCTTGTGATTTTACCAAGGGATTATAAAATGTAGTTCAACGTATATAATCATACGTAAAATATAAGCACAATGTAATTAAAGTATAAAATAAAAGTACTCATGCAATTACAAAATATTATATTATTCTGTTTTAACCTCCAGTGTATACATTTGAGCGCTTTAATGTTGTTTTTCGTCAAATTGAAGCCAATTTTAGACACTTTGAATATGACATGGTTCATAAGTCAATGATGTTTAATGCATGCGTCTTTTCAAAGGATTGAGATTTTAACAACAGGCTGTTTCTGTGTATCACTGTGAGGCTGTGAAACATGCAGATAAAAGCAACTTAGCTTAGAAGATCCTCAAAAGAGGATGAGAGGATGACAGGCCTGAAAAGGAGTTTAGTTTAGAAGGATAATTATTACCCATTAGGATTTGCATTTGGTGACAAGTTCACACTTTAATTGTGCAATTTGCCTTTTTGGGTTCATTTTTTAGACACATTCAAGTCCCAGAAGTCATCACGCAAAGAAATAAAACCAGCACCAACACACACGCACACACACGCACACACACATTGTCATCAGCACAGAGGCACAGATGTTTACTGTGAGTGTGTTTGTGTGTTATCGTTGCTTCAGCTCTTCATTGGGACCCTGCTGTTCACCGTGCTGCTGTTCCTGCTGCCCACCACAGCGCTCTACTACCTGGTCTTCACTCTGGTAAGACGAGTCACACGTAAACACACTCCTGCAAGAAATTCACTTCTGCGCTCACCGGGGTGCAGACCTCTGAAACACAGCGAACCTCTACAGCTGTAGACCACAATCTAGAAAAAGCTGTGAATCATGAAACCCTCTTGTGAGTTTAAGTAAGCACAGTAATTAGAAAACTGCTGATATTGTGATATGAGAATAGATATTGCCTTAGATTTTGAATATCGTTATATCTTAAGGTTTGTCTTTCCTGGTTTTAATGGCTGCTTTACCGTAAAGTCAATAAATGCTAATTTATTTTGTTCAAACTGACAAATTCTTCCATGGAAATTTCCTCAACATTTCCCGATAATAAGCCCCAGATGTTCTTCCCTTGGAATGATTAGACATTTTAAAACACTCCTACATTCGGTTTCAAAACCTTCTGCACCCTGACCAGGAATGAAACTGGTAGAGAAATACTGAACCATTTTTATTAGATGATTTATTTAGTTACTGACCTAAAAGGAGTTAGTAAGTATGGATTCAGCCAAAAGAAACTGCATTAAGTTTTAAAATCTCAAATTGTTTCTTACCCTCCTTAATTTAAACATGAAATACATTATTTCATATATCCTGTGGATTGAATCTAACCTATGTCTCACTATTAGAATCCCTTAAAGCTAACTAACATTATGCTGACTCCAGTTTCTGTGAAGCCATATATAAACCTAACTGCCTTGGTCTGCAGAGGATGTGATTGATGGCTGATCAATCATGAAATGTCTGCCTACATTTGTTCAAAGCTGTTCAAATAATAGCTTATTGTATTGGATTACCCACAACACTCAGTAGTCCATTCACACTTTTGTTCAATGAAGTGACTCCAGCCCTGATTCTTTCTAGTAGGGTGGGTTTGTTTGTAACACCTGTGTGCCCCTGTGTTGTGCAGTTGCGGCTGGTGGTGGTGCTGTTCCAGGGCGTGCTCCACCTCAGTGTGGACTTCATCAACTCCTTCCCTCTGTTCGCTGTGGCGCTCCGCATCACGCGCTCCTACAGACTAGCGGGTACGTTACCTTTCGTCATGGATCACTTCATTTGTGTAAAACTGCTCAATCAAAGTAAACATGATGGAAGTGCTTTGCTTTTTAAGATAACACTACAGATTCTTCCTACTGACTCGAGGATCTGAAACGTCCCTTATTTAGGAGGAACACCTGCACAGCTTCCCTTTTTATTTAATGTGTTACGCCTTAAGTAAGCTCTGTGGTTAACACAAGCCTGAGAGATTTTTACTTTTTTTCTTTACCACATAAAATATGCCAGTAAATTAAATCAAAGAATTCCCTGTCATTCAATACCACATTTCAATACCTAAAGATGAAATCCATTAGTGAGCCAATTAGCATTCAGCAAGTACCTAGCTCTAATAATGCTAATGTCTGAGAAAAATAAAGCTATTTTTTTTTTTTTTTAACATTCAAGCTTGCAAACATGTCAGAGTAGAGGCACAAAATACAAATATGAAACATGAAAATGGCTAAAATATGTTCTCTTAAACATTTTGATGTGGCTTCTTTGACTAGCGATGTTATAAAAAATTATTTAAAAAAAGGTTATTAATTTATTAAGATTACCTGATTGTACAAATTGTGTAAATATCATAATAAAATCCAATATCCAATTGATAAATCCCATTGTTTTATTTAGGGAACCAGGGCGATGCTAAATTCAGGGTTCTGCTACAAAAACATGTCATCCCTGCTCCACTCTTTTTAATGTGTGAACATCTAATGAATTCATGTCGAAGCGATCGAGGAATGATTGGACTGACAGAACTATGACAACATGATGCATTATCAGCAGGTTGTTAAATCCTGATAGCAAAGAGATTTATGGGTGGATGAGTGTATAGATGATTCTGGACTCTTATCGATGTTCTTCACAGAGGGTGTAAAGTTCAAGGTGCTGTGTGAAGAGCCTGGGACGGCCCTGCACCTGCTGATGGAGGTAAGAGGCCACATTTTGTTTCCTTTTTTAAAGATCGAATTCCCTTTCCCCTTGATTTCTTTGCTATCTAAAGTATTTTCCTTTGTGTCTATTCGGAGGCTTCTAATAATGGAGTAAATTATCTGGATTGTTGTCTGTTTAGTAAAGGATTTAGAACGTTTTAACCTGATAATACAGTACAATTGATGTGAGTTTTTTAAGATATCGAGCTGTTGTGTTTCCCTCCTCAGATTAACCCTCTGAAGAGCAGCACGGTGGTTCAGTTGTACCGCACGCCGACGTACAGCTGTTACCCCAAAGACTCGTGGGCGGCCCTGGCCAAGAAACTGTTTGTTGGGGAGCTGATTTATCCCTGGAGACATAAAACCACCAAAACCGACTGAGGGGATGAGGGAACAACAGAAAGGGAAGTGACTGATTACATAATGAGATGGAAGGAAAGAGGGGGAAAGGTGAAACAAGATGGAAAGGTAAAAATAAATGTGAGTTGTGCTGCTTTCATGTTAAATTGGAAGAAAGTTACAGAAAGTGTGTGTTAGCAAGAAACTGCCAGTTCAGCACACTTGGTCAGGTTGAAGAAGAAGAAGAAGAAGAAGAAGAAGAAAAATGTTTCTGAGCACAGAGAACAAGGCGGTGTAAGCCATCAAACTTAAAAACCAGCAAGTAGTCACGTCCTGCTGCTGTAAGAACTGTGATCATAAGATGACTTTCACTACACGGGGAAAATACTTTTATTTTCCATCATTTTAGGATTTGATTTAGGGTCAGCTGTTTTCTTTTGTCGTAGAGGCCATCAATTAGTAATAATATGAGTATTTAAACCCCTGTATTAAATGTATAAGCATAATGTTTCCCACAAAGAAAAACGCCACTAAAGGACCAAAGCTATTTGTGTGGTGTGGTTTAAGTGTGCGACAGAAAGATGAATTACTAATCCTTAGATAAGACTTAATAGAAAAAAAACTAATTAGAAAAAAACATGCAGATGACAGTACATTGCTTGGCTTTTGTGCTGGTGAACCTGCTTCTTAAATGTAATGTCCATTTCAAGTGCCATAAGCAAATAACCCATAGTGATGCACCACTCACTATCACACACATGAAGTACAAGCTGTTTTTCCCACTCCATGGTCTTTCCTGTAAAACCTACCTAGTTTAAAGTTGTTTTGCAGAGGGAACCAGGACAAAAATAAAACCCTCCCTACAACACTCCTTAGTCATGAAATACCAGAATGTAAACATTTGAGTTGTTGTACCCATGATTTTTACTCCAGCACCAGCCTCTAAGCACCATTGAAGCTTTTGGAGTAAGTAAAGTGAGACTGACTTTTATTGAACTGCAACGAATGGACATCGCTTACTCTAATGAGATATTACCAACACATGTCGCAACAGTAACTCAAGTAAAAAAAGAGTCATCAAACCAGACTCCATATTTAATGCGACAGCAGTAACCACAGGTTTCTTTTTAAAGTCTGCAACATAGAGGCGGGATTCCACTCAGTAATCAGGTATTTATGCTTTAACTGCACTGATCATATAGATTTTATATAATTAAATTATTAGCAAAAGTCTACCTAAATGATACTAACTGGAAAAACTGATTTATATTTTCTTTTGAATACTTTGTGTTTTGATGTATAAGAGTGTAGTCTAAAAGAATGATTAGTGTTTTATGTGTTCATTTGTTGCCATATTTCGCAGTTATGGAGGCAGTTACTGTTCTGTTATGGTACGAAGCAAATCTTCATTCTGCTCAGGGTGAATTTGTCAGCCTTTGTCTTATTTCTAATATATGTGCCTATTCATGTCATTTGTAATGAAATGTTGTGTCATTCTTTGTAACAATCCATCTCTGATTCAAATGAAACTAACCAACAGTTTAGAGTGAGGTTTGATGTCGGCCTTGTTCTGCACAAACTGTAGGTGAACGATACATAAGCTGTTGAAAGTTAAACATTTTTCCACTTTTTATAAAGCTAGGCAATGAAATGTCCTCTGCCTGCAGTCTTAGTGCTGAATTAGAATTCAAAACAAATGTTCACTCTTTAATGTGAATTATTTCTGTACTTTAGCGTCTTTTGAACCAATTTGTCTAAATGTGCATTCTTGTTTTTGTAACCTCTTATTTGATCTGTACTAAATGTTCCATTGCCATTTAATAAAATCCATGCGTATTTGATATACTGGTGTCTCTTCTTTTCAGATGAGGCTTATCTTTTCATAAACAGCTTATAAAATAATTGGTATAGAAATGATGACAGTCTTACTTGATTTAATCTAATCTGTAATGTCAATAAGAGACTAACCCCAGAGCTGCTCTATTCATATATTTTAATAAGAATTTTTGTGCCTAGATTTGATGAGATTTATATATACAGCATGTGCTGCTGCAGCACACATATCCAGTCTTACTGTAATCCTGAGATTGCTCTTTTCTATTCAGATTATTATCATTATAAATCCAAACTATTCCATAGATCATAGGAGCTGTGTCTAAATGCTTTTTCTGACAATCAAACAAATGTAAAAATATAGTTCCGGTAGGACTGATGATGAAAATCCTACATTAAATCGTTAAGGAGAAAGTGCATTTTGAAACTTATTTTTCCTTTATCACTAGCTAAACATGCCTCGTGTGTTGATTTACGATGTTTTGTTCAGTTATTTATGTAATGATTTAATGACTTCTAATGGTGTTTAATGTTTCATCTGTAATACTTTATATGCTATTCTCATGATGGGCCATAAAATGCATTTAAGGGGGGGGGAAATACTCTGAAACTGGTCTTTATGCGCTTAATTTTCACAGCATGTGATTAATGGGGTTTAATCAAAAATGTTGTCAAAATCACTTATTTTAAGCAAATCTTTATTTTTTGCAAATAAAATAGCAACAACAGTAGAAAACTAACAATAGAATTAGGTTACAGATTTGGATAATTCTGAATATTATAAATATATATAAATGTCTATGTGCAAGTCCAAAGTAGGTAAATGTAATTGTTAAAGGCTCTTATATAGGGGTCAATATTTGGTTGTGCAGTCTGATGGCTACTTTTAGAGTTCATTATTATATTGGAGGATATTCAAATAGTATAATGGTCCAATCACTTCAACCTAATCAATCGATCCCCCGACCCCCTTCTTATTTGCTTATTTTCAAGGGCATGTACAGTCAATCTATAATACACCTTCTACCACTCTGAATCTGCTTTACTCATCATATTATCTTTAATGATTCATGCTTTTGCTGCCATTACCAGCCTGTGTGCTTGGTTCTTTCTGTGTAGGTGTTTATCCTCATGAGATTCTTTCTGCAAAGCTAAAGAGAAGTGAGTCATGATATTAAGAAAACAGATTTGACACAGATGGCATCAAACTCAGCCTTACTACTGTACATCACATGTCATATTATAACTCATGTTACCATGCAGTTACGCTGCATTATACTGTGTATTCTCCTTTGCCCCTCATTTCTTTATTACCATGATGTGTATACATTAATCTGCACTCTACAGCTTTTATCACCTCTGGTTTTATTTCTACAAAACTATAGATTCACATGGGACAATAGTGTTTAGAATTCATAGTTTTTTACATTTAGCACAAGAACAGGCAACAACAAAGAAAACAATGCCTCATTCATTGTGTATTCCTTAGAGTAGCCTAAGATACATAACCATAACCACACAAAATTAACCTACAAAACATTAAAACAGACAGTTTTCTAAGTAAACCAAATCTACCTTAAGAGTCGGAATGTATGAATGTATTATCCACAAGATTGCCATTGTTCTGTACGTGTTTAAGTGACAAATGAATCATCTTTGTTGTCCACATTCTCCCCACCATCTGCGTGTTGTTGACAGCAGATTTTGATGGTCGTTTTGCTAAGCCAATGTATTACATCCTGCGTAAGACCAGCGTCCAATCATATGAGTTGGAAGGCGGGGCTTGGAGTGAGAGGGCGGGAACCAAGGAGAGGAGACTGTGGCGAGCAGAGGATCTGTCAGCAGTGTTGTTGTACGGTACTGAGAAGCCACAGCTGTGACTATGATTCAATATAATGGAGAAATATGGAGATATCAGAGACTGGGATTATTGAGTACACCTACAGAGATTTGGACTGGACATAAAACTGCCACAGGCTTCTGATCCCACTGCAGATATTGGTGTTTTCTGGATATAACGCAGTGAAGTTACAGGAATCTTTGTCACCCCGGACCAGAGGAAGACAAGGGGGCCTGAAATTACACGGACGGCGGTTGAAGTTGAGCTACGGGCTGCGCTAGCTAAGTTAGCATTTAGCCAGTAACAGCAAGTCATTTTTATTCACGGTGATTTGTAGTTATTAAATGCAGTGCCACGTGTTGCATTGCGTAGCGTAACGCATAGCGAGTGTCAGTGTCTTTTAATATCTACCGTGTTTGATAACTGCTGGCAACGATAGCACCAGTGCTAACTGCTAAGCTAACTAGCTAACTCTCTGGCAGGGGATAGCTTGTTGTTCCCCACAGAGCTTTTCTTAAATGGGAATAAAAACACAACCTCCAGGTTAGCTAGTTTTTTTGCTAACTAGGCAAATATATGATTCGCAAAGATATTTGCTCCTATACTTTGCAAAGTAGCTTATTATAATTATTATCCCAGGCAATAAGCATGTTTTTCTTCTAGACAACATGCCACCAAGCCAAAAAGAGTCATCCCGTCCGGATACAGCTTAGTTGCACTTATTTTCAGCAATAAGGATGTTATATTTTTCAAGTAGGACATTCCTTTGAGATTGGAAGCTCTTTTTTATCTGAAAAGGTGCTCTGAATTTGGAAGACTGTTTAGTTAAGACCGAAAAAGAGGCATAACAAAGACTTCAATTTGGTGGACACAACATTCGGTTCATGGCATAACAAGCCTTTGTTTTGGTTCAAGTGTGTAGAACAGCACACAAGGGTGAAGTTTACAGTCATTCATCTTCAGCCCCTGGACTCAGACGGGATGCACCATGGGCAGCCAGGGCAGCCCAGTGAAAAGCTACGACTACCTGCTCAAGTTCCTCCTGGTGGGAGACAGCGATGTGGGCAAAGGAGAGATCCTGGACAGCCTGCAGGATGGATCTGCAGAGTCCCCGTACGCGTACAGTAGTGGTGAGTCACTTTTCTCTCAGCTAATGGCTTAGTTGTATCCTCTTGTGATGATGGAACCTTGTGTTATGTCATGCTTGCTCATCAGAAAAGCCTTGAACATACTACACATTGCGCTTCTGTGTGGACTGGAGAACACACAATGAGCTCTCTGATAATATAAAGTCAGTCAGACTGTATGTGCATTGTCGTTCAGTCTCACTTGCCTAACAATAGTTTGAATGACCTGTTGACAATACATTTCTAGACCTATACATTAAACTGAGCGAACAACATCCTCTCCGGTATGAAGGGTTGTTCCTCCTTTTTCGAAAACAGCCTCACTGGTTTCCTACTTTAAAAACAAAAAAGGAAGCAATATTCTCTGTTTTACATATACATGTATTTATGTATATTATTGAAGGCTGCTCAGCAAAGGCTGCAAGTAGTATGTTCATAATACTGTCATTTTAACAAAATATCGATACCGCAGTGAGGGCTTAAAATGTAAGGGTTTTGTCAATAGATACATTTAAAGGCCCAGATACACCGGCCAGTCACCTGAGAAGTCGCCGACACCGACTGTTGCTTCGCCGGACTCTCCTGCGTATTTGCCGACTTCGCGCACTGGAACACACCGCAAATCCGAGCCGAGCACGAATGAACTGCGTATGCGTGAGTGGCAATAACTCTCCTTACCAGCAGGCGGCGGTAGTGTGTATTCATCATTCAAAAGAGGGAACAACCGAAAGACAGAAGAAGAACAGACTCCGTGATATCAACAAACAACAAATAGCGTTTTTCTTTCCATTTTCACTCTCGTCCATTGAAAACATGAACGAACAGGAGCTCTATAAACCGATGAGGTGAAATAGCCGTCCGTGTGTGTTCCATCTTCCATTTTAAATCATTTGTTTACCTCCCTCACTTCCGTTAACGCTTCTCATGCACTGATTCGCTAGCTGAACAGTCAATCAGTGTTATCCCTTTGTCCGACTTCCGGTGGTGTTCCCGACACATGTTCCCGGCAAGAAAAGGCGTCAGGTCGGCAGAAAAGTGGTGTGCGGCGCACACCACTCCGAATAGGGCGTGCCCACGTTCATGTTCGGCCCGACTCCCATTTACTGCCGATTTCGGGCCGGTGTATCTGGGCCTTTACACATGACAGTACTAACGCTGGCCGACATTTTAATATATGTTTGGGGGAGAGGGGCATAGTCCACGTCCATGTGCTTGTTACGCGTATGAAACAGGAA